GGAAACATGCAGATAAAAAGAAAGACTGATAGAGAGTTTCAGACAGTACTGTTCAGTTAAAGGTCAATGAGGAGGAAGCTGTATGTAATGGCCGAGGTGGAGTAGCTGGGGGTCCTGCTTCCTTTGATAGCCACCATATGCAACCTGCTGCCCTCTATCCCAATCACACACACACACACACACACACACACACACACACACACACACACACATACACACATACACAGCTATCGCCTACTGGACATATAACAAATACCTCAGGAAATAGAGCACTGACTCACAATTATCCTCTAACTTCACAGACAGCACACTGAGCGAAAAAACACACTGTTGAAAGCAAGATTTCTGTCCACGTTTTACATTTTCTCCCTATTTTTTGTTCCCACACTCACACATACACAATATACAAACACACAATGACACTCCTTTAAAAAATATTACACTGCTCAAAAAAATTAAGGGAACACTTAAACAACACAATGTAACTCCAAGTCAATCACACTCCTGTAAAATCAAACTGTCCACTTAGGAAGCAACACTGATTGACAATCAATTTCACATGCTGTTGTGAAAATGGAACAAAATAGGTGGAAATTATAGGCAATTAGCAAGACACCCCCAATAAAGGAGTGGTTCTGCAGGTGGTGACCACAGACCACTTCTCAGTTCCTATGCTTCCTGGCTGAGGTTTTGGTCACTTTTGAATGCTGGTGGTGCTCTCACTCTAGTGGTAGCATGAGACGGAGTCTACAACCCACACAAGTGGCTCAGGTAGTGCAGCTCATCCAGGATGGCACATCAATGCGAGCTGTGGCAAGAAGGTTTGCTGTGTCTGTCAGCGTAGTGTCCAGAGCATGGAGGCGCTACCAGGAGAAAGGCCAGTAAATCAGGAGATGTGGAGGAGGCCGTAGGAGGGCAACAACCCAGCAGCAGGACCGCTACCTCCGCCTTTGTGCAAGGAGGAGCAGGAGGAGCACTGCCAGAGCCCTGCAAAATGACCTCCAGCAGGCCACAAATGTGCATGTGTCTGCTCAAACGAGGGCCTGACCTCCATAGGTGGGAGTTGTGCTTACAGCCCAACACCGTGCAGGACGTTTGGCATTTGCCAGAGAACACCAAGATTGGCAAATTCGCCAATGGCGCCCTGTGCTCTTCACAGATGAAAGCAGGTTCACACTGAGCACGTGACAGACGTGACAGAGTCTGGAGACGCCGTGGAGAACGTTCTGCTGCCTGCAACAGCCTCCAGCATGACCAGTTTGGCGGTGGGTCAGTAATGGTGTGGGGTGGCATTTCTTTGGGGGGCCGCACAGCCCTCCATGTGCTCGCCAGAGGTAGCCTGACTGCCATTAGGTACCGAGATGAGATCCTCAGACCCCTTGTGAGACCATATGCTGGTGCAGTTGGCCCTGGGTTCCTCCTAATGCAAGACAATGCTAGACCTCATGTGGCTGGAGTGTGTCAGCAGTTCCTGCAAGAGGAAGGCATTGATGCTATGGACTGGCCCGCCCGTTCCCCAGACCTGAATCCAATAGACCCCTTTTCAGTTGGTAAACATTGTGACGTATTTGTGTGGGCGGTAGCTAGCAAATTTTGTTAGCTTTTTTTTTTCAACAATGGATGGAGAAAATCTGATTTTATCTGAATATGTAAGGCACTGTCCGGGACCGCGATAATTATTTTAAAAAGTTAACTTTAACGAACGGAACCAGATTGGTCGACCCCTACACACTCACTCAATGGATGGACGAACTGACAGGATTACCCCCGGTTGAGTGGCCTGACATCTACACCTACCTGATAGAGAAACCGAGCGTGTATAGTAAAGACAAACTGAGGGCGTATAAATCCTTAGATGCCTATAACTACGTACTGAATGGTCACATAGAAGACTTAAAATACAAAGATTTAACAGATGAGTTTTGTGTCGTATGATCCGAAGTTCTGCCTAGCCAGCGCGAAGGCCAGAAGACGACCATGTACCAGGCTTGGGTCATTGTAAACAGAAGAAACAACTACATCTTGACGGCGAACTGCACTTGCATGGCTGGGTGAGTAACTTAGCTAATATAAGATTAGAAAGATCACATTTGATATTGAATTTAAATGGAAAAAAAAGTTTGTTGTTAATAGTTATGTTCCATCATTATGTTGTGTTTAGCTATGTTGGTGTGTTAGTGATGTTGTTGTCTTAGCTATGCTATGAGATGAGCAACAAGTTATCACTCAGTTTAATTTTCCATCTGACATAACAGTCTAGGGTCTTGCTGCAGCCATGCAGCCGCAGTGCTATTTAAGGTGGAGCTGTATGTTAGGATGGGGAGGACCGAGCAGCCAGCAGGCACATCAGGAGAATGTCTCTGGAAACAGACGAAGAGAGAGGTCAAACCAGCCAGAATTAGGGAGATCAACTTCCAGAGGCCTAAAAGACAGTTGACCGCAGCAGTTCCAGCCAAAGTCAGGAGGTTCAATAGCAGTGCTAGAGGCATGTACCAGAATAGATGAGGGTTTATTGAGTTAAGAGTTAAGAATTAAGCAGCAATTACTACCTGACCAGGTCAGAGCTATTCTGCTAGGTGAAGATTCATTCTCAAATGTCCAGTCAAACTTTGAAGTGCTTAGTTGAATCTCAACACATTTTACATACCAGATATGAGACAACCAAAAAAAGCAATACAATATATTATAACACAATCATATAATATGCATACATACACACATTAAAGTGCGTTAAATATTGTTGTCCTATGTCATCTTCTAGAACTCACAGATGAAGACATCCAGGAACTGTATTCGATTGCCCCTGACGCTACTGTTCTTACCAGCATAGAAAACAGTGACACTGACACAGCTTCTGAGTCTGAGCTAGAGCATCCTCGAGAGTTGCCAGAGCCGCTCACAGCCTTGTACGACCCCACGCTCAGACAGCACACACATGGGGACATCAGAGATAAATGTGAGGAAGCCTATCTCAACATGAGAAGGAACATCCACCCAGATCAGTGTGAGAGACTTGAGACTATCACAAAACTGCAGGCAAAGTCCCAAGACTGGCACACTCATAGGGCAGGCAGGATTACCAGCACAACATTTTATACTGTATGTAAAGGTGACCATCTGCACAAAACCACCCTGGACAAAATCATGCGCTACAATGACACCAACATACAGGTTCCAGCAGCTGTATGGGGAAGAGACAAAGAGGAAATTGCTAGGGAGTGTTACACCATAAGAGCTCAACAAAACCCATCAAAATGTAACGGTTAGTCCATGTGGTTTTGTGATTCGACCTGATGAACCGCACCTAGGCGCATCTCCAGATGGGAAAGTTGTGTGTTCCTGCTGTGGGGAAGGGGTCTTGGAAATCAAATGCCCATATAAATACAGGGAAGGCCTACAGGGCGTGACAGTCACTAAGGATTTCTGCCTTGACCAAACATTCCAACTAAAGAAGACACACCAGTACTACCACCAGGTTCAACTGCACATGTTTGCCTGCAATGTCCAGTACTGTGATTTTGTGGTGTGGACAACTCAGGAGCTGGTTGTAAATCGCATCCCAAGAGATGAAGAGCTCTTGCAGAAGGATTTACCTAAAGCGAAGCAATGTTTTGTATCTTTCATTCTGCCAGAACTTCTAACCCGCAGCCAAGATCCTTCCCTTCAACCACCAGTGTTTTGTAACACCTGTGAAAAGCCAGAGTTTGGTAAAATGATTGAGTGTAGCATGTGCAAAAACTTCTTTCATTATAGTTGTGCACAAGTTAAGAGGAGGCTACAGAACTGGCACTGCAGTTGCTGTAGATAAATACACCTGACTCACCTGTGTCTATCTTCACGGTTAGCCATGAAGAGATATATGCTTCTATTTCAGCAGGGAATAAGTACTATTTTACAGCTACATGTTAGTGAACTGGGCTAAAATACAAAAACAGTTAAACCTTCAATGTGGTGGATAAGGTATTGGGTATGGAAATGTATGTATGTAATGGCATAAGAGATATTTTAAAGTATGATTCCTGTAAATTAAGAATGAGATAACAGTACAATGTAGTATTAAGATGTAAATATTTTTTAGAAATAAATTCTGAACACTGCAAATTAATTATAAAACTTCTGTATTTAATTATTCTTTCTTACCAGGTTCTTAAAAATTCCATTCACAATTAACAACAATGTATATACAATCACAGATGATTCACAATTAATCAACAGTTTAGAAAAAAAACAATTCTCAATTGAATTAGAGTGAAAAGCATACAAATCATCAATACATTGTTGTACACACAACACTGATATTTCATACACGACATACTCTCTCTTTTCTGGGTACCACAGATTTACACAAATTGGTAAGAGCACCACACACAATCACCATGTCATCCAAAAGGCTAACTTGGGAAATAGGAATAACAGAATGCAACATTTTGAAACTCTTCCATCTGCTTATAACTCTCTCTACATGTATTCTCACACGTGACAGTTGTCTGGATGAATCTACTTCACAAGCAGGTAACTGACTCTTTCCTTTGGTAAAATTTGGTATACGCAAAGTGGCACCATAAGCAGCAAGTTCATCCCTGATCAAAACCCCCCTGTGTTATCTGCTTATCTGACACTCTCCCACCCCAGCCCGTGGACAGAAATGAAACTGCCCCAGCAGGTGTTACTCCCACCAGGTACAGTGTTGTGATGCTTGTAATTGGACCAGGTTTGAGCTCTGGCAGTCAAGTTAGTAGGTCTCTCTATGAATATCTCTGTACAGTCAATTACACACCTGCATCTCTTGAAATGTCGTCTGAAACTTTTGGGCGTATTTTTAAGGACAGCACCTTTACTTGGCCATTTAATAATGGATTTCAAGATTTTTGCCATTACAGGCAACCAGGACCTTAGAATGTTTGACACTGTGCTTTCAGAAACTTTGAACGTACAGTATATGCAATATCTCTGTTACTGAGCCCCAATCTCAGTTTCATAAGAACGACTAATAAATGATCTTCTAGCATGAGACTTTCAGTTCGCTTCTGCACACTGTCTTTAATTTTTGACATTAACCAACTGAAGATGACTGAAGTTAACCCAGTGAGAAACAGAAAGTGTGCAGCATTGTTTTTGATCGTGGAGAATGAGAAGCGTGATTTCTGAAGCTCCTCTTTCAGTCTTTCATTCTCCTCTTTAAGTTGGTAAAAGTCTTTTCTTAAGTTGACATATTCAGTGTTGAGTTGATCATACTTCTCACTGAGACTGTTGTATGCTGCTTCAGGGACCATAGCCTCAGCTTCTTCCACTGCTTCCTCTGGTGTCACTGGATCATCATTAGCTGGAAGACAAATGACAAAGCAGTTTGATAAATGTATGTATGACAAAAACATTGTACTGTGCATAAAACATTTTGAATGTTCTTACCATGGCAAGAAGCCTGTTGCTCCACTGTTGAACATTCCCTTTTCCAGCCTTAGAAAAGCAGAACAAAACAGAGAAGACAGAGATTTTAGTGAGGAAGACTGCACACACACGAGTTACAGCCTATGGTAACACTCACCTAGCCACATTAAGAAAACTCAATTTCACCTACCACAGGCCTGTCATTCTGCCGTTTATAGGAAAACACAGATGGGACGAAGTTAGGGCTGTCTTCATCCATAGAAGCCTGTCCTACAAAATAAGAAGAAGTAATTAAAGCTAGTGTCAGCCTTCCTTACTATGTAGTTAGCTAGCTAAGGTTATCCTTTTCGTTGGCTACTAACTGTGGCGAAAGTTAGCAAATCCAACTACTTGAACATAATACCTGTACATAACACGGGCCTTCTCACTGTACTTTCTACAATTGCAAACCTGCAACGGTTGAAACGGAGACGACACCAACAGTGTACGTTTATGTTAACGTTATCTAACGTTAACAGTTAGCTAACTGCTAATTAGTTGTACTTCGAACAAAGTTTGCTAACTATGACCTCAAAAAGTCAGCATCACGACAGAAATAACTATACTTGTTAACGTTACCCAATTTCTATTTAAGTGGGCATTTAGCATTATCAGAAATATGTAGATAACGTTACTTTACCAACGAAAGACAATAGTTTATTTACCTTAACTTACCTGATATGAAGTGCGCTGCATACGCGAGCATTTTTGATGATTGTTTCTGTCCAGTCTGCTCGTTTTATTGCGTTTAACCACAGCTGTCTTCGTTTTTTTTGTCTGGCAGTGGCAGCAGGTATGCAATAAAATTTCAAATTGCCTGTACTCCGTCGGTTCTGGCAACCAACAACACAACAAGATGACATTTTAAGCTCCTTGTGTAGCCGACCCTGTGCTGGTTTGTATTGGCCGCCTCCGGTTGTCCGTTTGTTTTGCCTCCAGCTAAGGCTGTGACGTAGCTCTGACGTCGGCTAAAAAAGGGTCTATTGAGCACATCTGGGACATCATGTCTCGCTCCATCCACCAACGCCACGTTGCACCACAGACTGTCCAGGAGGATGCTTTAGTCCAGGTCTGGGAGGAGATCCCTCAGGAGACCATCCGCCACCTCATCAGGAGCATGCCCAGGCGTTGTAGGGAGGTCATACAGGCACGTGGAGGCCACACACACTACTGACCCTCATTTTGACTTGTTTTAAGGACATTACATCAAAGTTGTATCGGCCTGTAGTGTTTTCCACTTGGATTTTGAGTGTAACTCCAAATCCAGACCTCCATGGGTTGATCAATTTGATTTCCATTGATAATTTTTGTGTGATTTTGTTGTCTGCACATTCAACTATGTAAAGAAAGGAGTATTTAATGAGATTATTTCAGTGTTCCCTTTATTTTTTTGAGCAGTGTATTTTGAAGAATGATGCATGTCAGCTTCTACTGTGACCCTCTGCACTGTGCCTATGGTGGAGCTTTATCATGCTATGACCCCCTTAGAAGGCTTCAATTATAGCGGAAACCCAACCGGAGAGCCAAAAAATCTCCTTTATGGCTCTGTTCAGTTCTGGGTGACTGTTTTCCCATCTGTTCAAATAAATTGCTGCGTTAAATCCCTACCCTGAAATGCTGTTATTTAGATGGCATTTTGCCTTTTTCCTCTTAAAAAAATGTCTGCAACTGAGGAATGTCTTCTTATTGGTTTCAAAGAACAGTTTTGACACTCTCTTGGTCTATTGTAGAAGGCAACAGCGGCATCTTTCAAAGGTGGGGGAAAAATGTGCTGCTTCTTTCATGTTGGGAGTAAATTGGCTTCCTCTGAAGACTAACTTTTCGGCCCATTCTCGACTATGGTGCACTTCTTGCCTCAAAGGTGGCATAAATGGAAGGAAATGAATAGAAGGAGACAGATGGTATGAGAGAAGAGGTGAGCGAAAATGAAACTGTGACAGGAAAAATCACAAAGACGTGTGAAGACACTGTTGTGGAGTAGCTGGTGGAAAGGGTTAAAGTAAGAGATTTTGTCAAAGCAGCTTAATGAGTGCCCCACATTATATCTTAACACACCATTGGGTGGATGCTTTTATCCAAAGTGCTTTACAAGTAGCATGAGTGCTTAAAATTTGTGTGAGTGGCCCACAGGAGATGGAGTCCTTAACCTTAGCAGTGTACGTGCCATCTGTACCTACATGAGCTGCATCTGAATCCCTGCTTAGGATTGGATTTTTTTGTATCTCTCTCTTGCTTCTTGGCTGTTTATTTTACATGTTTTGTCACATACACAGTAAAAACATTTAGAAGGGGAAGTAAAAGTTTGAAATGAAGGATAACTATCTTTTAGTCATAGGGCTCTTAAGGACATACAAGCAGGAACCTCTGGATTTGAAAAGTGAAGCCAATGCAAGTTTCAATGCCTTAAACCTGCATTTGTAATAGCCAGCAGTGGGCAACTCCATCCCTCATCCATCCAAAGTCAACCGCTTATCCTGCGTACAGGGTCGCGGGGGCTGGAGCCAATCCCATCTGTAATCGGGCAAAAGGCAGGGTACACCCTGGAAAAGGTCGCCAATCCATCGCAGGACCACACATACAACCAGTCACGCTCACACTCACGCCTAAGGACAATATAGGGTCACCCAATCGACGTAGTCCGCATGTCTTTGGACGGTGGGAGGAAGCCGGAGCACCCGGAGAGAACCCACGCAGACACGGGAAGAACATGCAAAAGAAGTCAGATTGTATAGAAGTGTTGGGCAGTAACGTGTTACTCAGTTACTGTAATATTATTACTTTTCCCAGTAACTAGTAGTGTAACTAATTACTTTTCTAAAACAGTAATATTATTACAGTTACTGAACGCACCATGGTGAATGCACGACTGCACTGCAGGTCAGCGGCACCGGAGCTTATGTTGTTCAAGTCAGCTGTTAGCCAAAAACTAAAGGAAGAATTGAGAAAGAGGGAGAGACGCATTCTTTCCACAGCTGTAAGTAACTACTGCCGTTATTGTTTCACAGTCTAAGATGCAAAGAACAATGTCATCTATTGTAAACTCTGTGCGACCAGTAGAAAGCTTTCAACCATAAACATTTCTACATCTGATTTATTGAAGCATCTGCTGAAGCAGCACAGTAACGTGAATCTTACAGAAAGAAAACTCCAGCAGCTGCTGTCACTGATGCTTGGACTCATCCGGAGAGAGTGGCATTAGCGTAACGTTTTCAAACTACTCAATACTGTTCTTATGATTAGGCTACATGTGCAGAAAAAAGTTGGGATTTACTTGCTTTATTTTTTTATTTCAGCCAGTGGCGTTAAGAAATGTTGCTGTTATGAATATGATATTAGTTAATAAAGTTGAGAGAGACTGCTTTGTTTGGGGGTGAAGGGGGGTGGTAGTGAAGTGTTTCCCATTTATGACTTACTGCCACATATTGGTTTTCTATTTTTTACTAGGTGTATTTAAAATCTTATTTGATTGAGGAGCTGCATTATGGAGCATATATTCATGCAGCATCTCCCCCCCCCGGAAGTAATATAGTAACGTAACGAGTAATGTAACTCGTAACTAGTTACTTTTATCACACAATAATAAGTAAAGTAATATTATTACTTTTTAAAGGAGTAATAACTAACTAGTAATATATTAACATTTCTGACTAAACTTGCCCAAAACTGTATAGAAGTGACTTAGAAAAGGACCCTACTTCTCACTTGATTTATTACCTCAGTACACACTTTCCTAATGAGTTTATGGCCTCAATAGCTACTTTCAAATCTTCTTTAGTAATAATGTTCATTTAGTAAATTATAGTCCCATTTAGACTAAAATAGACAATAAAGCAGGGTATGCCTTAGGGCGTGGCTACCTTATATATCCACTGCACCGTGTATATTTAACTAGCCATGCAATTGTTTTTTCAGTGCTGTCTGAACTTTGACCCTTTCACACTGTGTTTTCACTTCTTGAAAGTTAAGTAACATTTTGGTCAACTAAAAATGTCTTTAGCATTCGCTTGAACTAAAAGACACTCTAAGTAGTTGACTGTTCATTTTTACCAGTAAGTACATTCTGTTTTAAGCCTGTTTTTCATTTCCAAAATTAGCATCCCAGGTAATTCACCTTACTTGAGGTACGATTTGAGGGGGGATGTTTGTTTTTTTTAAATAAATACAGAGCGTTACATCACGATGCAGAGCTGCAGTCAAAACGCAGAAAAGACAGATGCATGCTGTATTTAAGAGACTGATTTAAAAGCTGTCACTTTCAAGAGTGTCATTTAGTGAAACCTCGTAGCTGTGTGTTCAAGCATGTTGACTGGTGTAACAGGGACACTGGGCTGCTTGTCATCATAGAAACATCAGATTGTGAAGTTTATTGCAGCTTCAGTTATATCGGCTGCCTTCACTTCGACACACAGCTCTGCTGTTCACCGGAGCTAATGTCTCGTGAGTGTTATAGGCTATTTGCGACTTGTTCAATTCAATTAAATTTTATTTATATAGCGCCAAATCATAACAACAGTTATCTCACAGCGCTTTTCATAAAAGAGCAGGTCTAGACCGTACTCTATGATGTTATTTACAGAAGCCCAACAATTCCCACCAAGAGCAAGCACTAGGCGACAGAGGCAAGGAAAAACTTCCTTTTAAGAGGCAGAAACCTCGATCAGAACCATGGCTCAGGGTGGGCGGCCATCTGCCTCGACCGGTTGGGGGTGAAGGAGATAAAGAGAGAGAGAGAGGGCGAGAGAGAGGGCAAGAGAGAGAGAGAGAGAGAGAGGGCAAGAGAGGAACAGAGAGAAAGAGGGCAGGAGAGGAACCGAGAGAAAAAGAGAGGGATGGAAGGAGAGAGAGGGGAGGGAGGCAGCATACACAATATACACACAGAGGTACAGACAGTAAAAAGGTGATGTTGCTATAGACTAAATGACTAAATGAAAAATGGTATAGATATGTATAGTAGTGTTAATGATAACAATCGTAATGTTAATGATTATAATAACAATAATAACAATAGGTCTAGTAACAATAGTTGT